AGGGATTAATAATTCAATGGTGCATCCAATAGGTAAGGGTGCACCGAGCCTTACAGGACTAGGGTGCTCTAAGCTGCTTGTGTGTGTTGCTGGAAAAGATGAACTAAGGGATCGAGGTGTTCAATATTATGATTTAGTGAAGGAAAATAGGTGGAAATGAGGATTGGAGATGTTTGAAGCGGAATGAGAGAATCATTGCTTTCATGTCTCGCTTGGGATCGAGATCGAGACTGATCAGACTGAGACTACGACTGAGAATGTTAAGAAAGTTTTCAAACGCTTGGCATCATTTCTTGTGTAGCTAAATTTATATCATGCTAATAAGAATCCTCAATTCCACATGAAGTACAACGTGACTGTCCTTGGTATACAAATAAATAACTAAAACTAGATATGATGAATTAAGTGATAGCATAAACACAAAACCAAGATCAAGCAATACAAATTACTATAACCAAAACACAAACCAAAAACCATTAGCCAATGCTCAAAGAAGAAACAAACCTGCAAATGAACTCGAACCGATTGCCATGTCTGATTTTTGTAACAATGCTGCAATGCACATTTTCTTCTCTTCAATGTTCAAGGTTCTCAACTAATAATAGGTCTTAATCTAGAATAGAGCACACACACTATGAGAGCAGAGGCCACCATATATATACTACATAATCCTAGCCAAATTCCATAAGGATTTCCCTATTAAAATCCATATAGAAAACCAATTCCTAAGAAATATCAATTCAAGCACCGATATGGATTCATAAATCGAATCCCAACAAGACTTCCTATTCAGTCTCTAATCCTTTAACCAAGTTCACAGATTTATACTCATGCTCATATTCTAACATTCTCCCACTTGAGCAAGTATAAACCAAGAAAACCAGTTCAATTAAGACTATAACAGGGTGATCACTGAGTTTTTTGAGCAACATCATGAACAATCTACCTGTGCATCTCAAAACATAGAATCTAAAACTCACAGTCACAACCATTATTCAACTGGTGCTTCTAGATTACTCATGTCCAATCTACACATATAACATTATGATCAAACTGAAACTTAGTGGACCTTAATATCCACTCCCACTATTTCTCAACTCAATTCAAAACAATCAAGTGCATCATAAACAGTAAATTGTTTGGCTGTAATTCTCATGAATTCAAAACAACTACTTGAGTCAAATCACAAAGATTCCTCAAAGCATCAACTGAATTCAAAAATCACACACACACACACACACACACACACACACACACACATATATATATATATATATATATATCAGATTAAACAATTACAAAAATTAAATCTCTTAATACAACTAGCTCGCAATTATACTATCTGTCAATAAAACAAACTAAACCAGAAAACTAGCTTTAAAAGAAGAACATCATTGCTACAAAAGCTCTTTGAACTTCACAATAGCAACATTTCTCAACTTTATTATCACAACTATCTTTAATAAAAAAACTACTCTTACTAATCAAAAGACACCTATTTTAGAGATTTGTACCTTTAATATACCAACAAGCAAGGCTTTAGTTAAGGGGTCAGCAGCCATTAAACTTGTACTGATATGTTGCACATCAATGGTTCCTTGCTTAACCTTATCCCTTACCTTTAGAAACTTAACATCCATCAACCTTGAAGCAAAAGTTCTCTTGTTGTTCTGTGCAAAGAAAACTACAGAATTATTGTCATAATACATTGTTAAGGGTTCTGCATTGATCTCATAATCCTTAACTCTGCCACAAAATTCTTCAACGACACTCCCTACTTCATTCTTTCAAAACATGCCACGAATTCTGCCTTCATGGTAGAAGTCACAATGACAGTTTGCTTAGCACTCTTCCAAGACACTGCATTTTCAAGGTTGATTTTTTGTCATCCAAATCCCCTACTAAGTCAAAATCGGTGTACCCTTTCAATTCAAGTTCTTATTTTCTACTATACACAAGCATATAGCCCTTGGTTTGTTGCAGATACCTTAACTCTTTCTTGGCAACACTCCAGTGAGCTTCCCTTGAATTAAATTGAAACCTGCCCAAAATTCCTACTATGTATGCAATGTCAGGCCTTGTACAAACATTTGCATACATTAAGTTTCCAACTAATGATGCATATGGCCTCTCATACATCTTCTTGACTTCGAAATCAGTTCTAGGACATTGTTCCTTTGATAACTGATCTCATTTGTTCACTAGAACATGGCAACCATTGCAGCTTTCCATGTTGAACCTGGTCAAAATTCTTTCCATGTAAGCTCTTTGAGAAAGTCCTAACAACTTTCTGTTTCTATCTCTAGCAATCTCAATCCCTAAAACAAAATGTGCTTCACCAAGATCCTTTATTTCAAAATTAGCATTGAGCAATGATTTTGTCCCTTTTAACAACTGAATGCTCGAACTAGCAAGTAATATATCATCAACATATAGGACTAAGATTATGAACTGTGATCGTCTGAACTTTAGGTAGATGCAATCATCAAGTTTATTCTCAACAAAACCATTAGATGTGACCACTTGATCAAACTTTAAGTACCATTATCTTGAAGCTTGCTTGAGACCATAGATTAACTTCTTTAACCTACAAACCATATTCTCCTTCCCCCTTTCAATAAATCCAGGGGTTGAACCATATAAATGTTTTCTTGAAGATCACCATTGAGGAAGGCTGTTTTTACATCCATTTGATGTGACTTTAAATCATAGTGTACAGTTATTGCCATAATGAGTCTCAATGAATCTTTAGAGGACATGGGTAAGAAGGTATCATTGTAGTCAATTCTTTCTCTCTGAGTGAACCTTTTAGCAGCTAAACGAGCCGTATATCTTTCAACATGTCCTTATGCATCCCTTTTGGTCTTATACACCCATTTGCACCTTATGGGCTTTATATCAGATTTTTGCTCCACCAACAACCAAACCTAATTCTTATACATCGATTCCAACTCCTCTTTCATTGCATTGTACCTTAAAGGTGATTGAACTCTTCATGGCTTGTGAATAAGTTATAGGATCATCAATGTCTCTAATATTATAATCAGTTTCTTGGAGATAACAAAGAAAGTCACTTGTAATTGCAGGTTTTCTTGATCTTGTGGATCTTCTGATTTGAGGATGCATTTGAACATTGTCATTTTGCTCAGCATTATCAATCTGTTCAATGGCATATTGATTCGGATCATGCTCTAGTTCAGTTTCATCTAGTTGCTCCATTACTTGGTCAGGTTCTTCATTGTGATTAAACTCAATGTCTTGATCCGTGGCTTGAGAATACACTAAAATGGGACAATGACCACTTGAAGAAGTTTCATTCGATGACTGTTCTAATTCTTCAAATACGAAATTCTCAATAGTAAAATCTGAGACATCTGATCTTCAAAGGTGTTTCTTTGATTCTAGTATGAGATTGTGCACAATAGAACTTAAACCCCTTTGATTTCTTTAAGTAGCATATGAAATAGCATGACTCAGTTCTCGGATCTAGTTTTCTTTCCTCTAGATTGTAGAACCTAGCTTCTGCCTTGTATCCCCAAATGTGAAAATTACCAAAGCTTGGCAATCTACCATACCATACTTCAAAACTGGTGGTTGACATTGATTTGTTAAGGACTCAGTTTAATATGTAATTGGCAGTTTTTAAAGCCTCACCCCATAGGAAACTAGGCAACTTGGACCTTGACATCATGCTTCTCACTATGCCAATCAATGTTCTATTCCTTCTCTCTGATACTCCGTTTTGTTGTGGTGTACCAGAAGTTGTGTATTAAGCCACAATTCCTTGTTATTCAAGATAAAAAGCAAAAGGGCCTTTCTGTTGTCCAGACTTTGTGTACCTGCCAAAGTATTCTCCACCCATATTCGATCTAACAATCTTAAAGGATTTGTTTAATTGTTTTTCTACCTCAGTTTTAAAGATTATGAAACATTTAAGAACAACTAACTTTTCACTTATCAAATAGATATAACTAAATCTTAAAAAGTCATCAATGAAATTAACAAAGTAACTGTTTCCACAAATCGTTTTAGTTGGGAAATGACCACAAATGTCAGTATGAAAAATCTCAAGTAAATCTTTGCTTCTTTTGGCTTCAAAGTTTCGAAAGTCTGTTAATTTTCCTTTGAAACAATCCACACACTTAGTTGCAGTTTCAAAATCAAGTGAAGGAATCAAGTTGGATATGTGACCTATTCTCTTGTGCCAAAGAATGTAAGAAGTGTCAGAGTTTTCATTCTCTTTATGCTTGTGTTTAGTGCATGATACTCATTAAGGACCACACTACACTCCAACTGCCATAAGTTTTCAACTAACCTAGCAGTCCCTAAAATGGAATCAAAACAGTTCTTTTGAAAAAGTTTCAAACATTCATCATCCCTAGGAAAGAAAAACCATTTTTGACAAGTTTAGAGGCGGAAATCAAATTTCTTCACATCTTTGGCACATATAGCTCATCACTTAGTTGTAAAATGAAACCAGAATTTAGTTTTAATCTGACTGACCCAATAGCTTTGACTACAACTTTTGTCCCTTCCCCCACAAAGACATTAAAACAGTTAAAACTAGCATCCTTTTGTTTTTGAAAACATGTAGTGAGTTAGTTATGTGAACTGTGCAGCCAGTATCAAACCACCAAGAATTGAATGGAACCTCAATTAAGTTTGACTCTACACATACATCAACTAGTCTCATTTCCATTAGCTTTTAAGTAGTCCTTAAATAGTTCACAATTTTTTCTTAAATGACCTCGAGTTTTGCAGAAAAAACATTTGAGTTTAGCAACATTTTTCACTTTTGGTTTAAGATTGTTAGATCCTCTAGAAGTTTCAAATAGTTTAGTAGATATACTAGTCTTATCAAAAGGCTTAGGGTGCTTAAAGATTTTACCTGAATTGTTTCCAGTATTGTTGAACTTTCATCCTTTCCCTCCTTACACAAAATTCACAATCTCAATGTCTTTGCCCTTCTCTTGCCTCTGTCGAGTTTCTTCTTGAAGACACTATGCAATGAGCTCATCTACATCCCAACTCTTGTCTTGTGTATTGTAGGATACCTTTAATTGAGAGTACTTGTTTGGGAGAGCTTGAAGAATCATGAAGACCAACTGTTTTTCACCAATGTTAACATCCATAGAGTTTAACTTTTCTGTAGCATTAGTCATCTTCATTATATGATCTCTAATTGAACCAGCATTGTCAATTTTGTAAGTTGTCAAAAGTGACATGTATTGATTGATCTCAGCTTTCTTTGATTCCTTGAACTTCTTTTCTATCGCATTCAAGTATTCTGCAGCCAACTCATGTCTCTTGATGCCTCCTTGAACTATGTCAGTCATCCCACTTTCAAGAATTGAAAGTGCAACTTTGTTTGCCTTTGTCCACCTCTCATAATCTCCCTTCTGGGGTCTACTATACTCCAATGGCTATATCATACTCATTGATTGTCAATAGTAGTCCAATTTCTCTTCTCTATTTCTTGTAGTTACTCCCTCTAGTGAGGATCGGGATATTTGCTAAGTTTAAAGTCTTCAAGGATATTGCAAATGCTGCAAATGAAATCACAAACATGAACCAGTTAGGTCCTGATTTTCTTGTGCAGATTGCACATCACAACTCACATTAGTAATTCATACATTTAGACTTAACAACATATAGTTGATAAGCATACATAGAAGAACTGACTTATCATAAACTCAGCAAATTCATAATGAGATGTGCAACAACAGACGGCCAATAAATGTCTCATGCATAATAATCATTATCCATCATTCAACAGAAACATAAAACTGCATTACAATTGTCAGATCACAAGATAATCGCATACTCAATCGCAATTGAGCATTTATTGGCCAAAGATTACTGATCATTGATTTCAATTAGTTGAGCCCATGTTGATTTTGTTACGGAGATTTAAATTTCTTAAAAACTTAACAAAACTATGACTCAATTTGTAGATGAAAGAAAAATTATGCAGACAAAGGTGAAGTAGTGCAAATCATCAAACATATCTTATGCAGATCCAATTTGAAATGGCACAACGAAAATAATCATCCAAATCGATCATTTAATTTAGAGGTTAAGGAATCATATCCCAGAAGTATGTTTTGTGAATAGTGTTTCTAATCGAAAAACCCTATTCGAAAGAAAACCTTAGCAATGGAGTTGCAGAAAATCCAATGGTAACATTCTTTTAAAGGCCAGCGGTAATATTTTAAACAGGTTTTGTCGTTATTAGCAACCCTTACACCAAAACTCGTGTTCGATTCCCTAACGCCGCAAAAAGGCATATTTTTCTTAAATTTTATTTATTGTTTTGAACCCATTGATTTTAATTACAAAACTCGCCGACTTATAATCAAGGCTCTGATACCACATGATAGCATAAAGACAAAACCAAGATCAAGCAATACGAATTACTGTAACCAAAACACAAACCAAAAACCATCAGCCAATGCTTACAGAAGAAACAAACCTGCAGATGAACTTGAACCGGTTGCCATGTCTGATTTCTGTAACAATGCTGCAATGCACCTTCTCCTCTCTTCAGTGTTCAAGGTTCTCAACTAATAATAGGTCTTAGTCTGGAATAGAGCACGCACACTGCAAGAGCAGAGGCCACCATATATATACTACATAATCCTAGCCAAATTCCTGTAAGGATTTCCCTATTAAAATCCATATTGAAAACCAATTCCTACGAAATAGCAATTCAGCACTGATATGGATTCATAAATCCAATCCCAACAAGACTTCCTATTCAGTCTCTAATCCTTTAACCAGGTTCATAGATTCATACTTATACTCATAGTCTTACATAAAGTTCATCGTATCATCTCATCTTGTTAGCGAATTAACCCAACTTCCTTGTTGATCAAAGTAAAAATAGTGACCTAATTTGGTGTACTTTCCCAATTTTTTATTATCAATCTTATATTTTCATCATATAACTAAGCTAAGTCAAGTGGTATCATCGTCAGCCTCACATATATAACTAGAAGATACACTAGTGTAGTGATAGGTCGCGAGTTATTTTCCAGTGCAAATGAAAGCGCCTCAATTGGAATTTTCTTTAAAACAAAACAATTCTATTTTCTTGCTGTTGTTGGAGGGTGATTTTTTTCCTTAAGTTCTTTGTTTGCCAATCAATGAGTTTGTTTCACACATCAACTTTGCACAAGTAAGAGTCGCAAAGAATCAAATTCTTTGCGCACCATAAGCATATGAAAATTCTTTGAATGAACGTGACCTAAATTTTGATGTTTTCTTTTCGTTCTTTAATTCATTATTTTGAGAACCAATATTGATTCAGGAAACTTAAAAACTGTGTGTTGGTTTATAAACTTTTGATTGTATATATAGTCGTTTTCATATGCTTATACGACAGTCATAGAGAGTAGCATTCTTATGCGGGCACGTCTTTGTTCTTTGAACAAAAGAGATCATTTTTGGAAGAAAGATGAAAGACAATGCACACATAAGAGGAGGTTTTATTACAATCCATAGCGAACGATAATAGTGTAATACAATTTCGTCCAAGTATACCTTGATAGTGCAATAGAACGTCCACACCGTAGCGAACGATAATAGTGTAATACAATTCCGTCCAGGTAGACCTTGATAGTGCAATAGAACGTCCAAAATGTAATACAATTTTAAATAACATTGTTTCGTGTAACATTGGAGTATAAATGTTAACGCTATAGTGTAACCTTACCTTTCTTGTAATTCATACATTGAATACTAATATCACAAAGCTTGGGGCTTGTTTTATGGGGCCCTCGAAAAATGTTGGTCGCTAATGACTAATTTTTTGTAGTGACAACGATCATATGAAAGGATGAGATGACATGATTTAACAAGATAAAATAATCCTGAGAATCACAATAACATTATCATAATGATGTTCAATTAAAGCATGAAGGAAACGATGAAGGGTTTTCTAGTTTTCCTACAAAGAATGTTGTTGGGCTTGAGGACTTTTGTACTCGACTTGGTTTTTTTGAAGAAAGACTGTTGGCAGCAGGTGTTGACATTTTTATTATTCTACTTACTATTAAACATGATTACTTATTACTTTTACATCATAGAAAATGACACATGAGGGATATAAAATCCCGAACCAGAGCTCTATATTCAACATACGAGCAAACTAACATGATTATTCTAGACAAGAAAAGAAGCCAAACGTTTGATCATTTTCTTAACATTCTCAGTCTCAGTCTCACGTAAGATATGAAAGCAATGCTCCTCTCCTTCAACTTCAAACAGTTCAACTTCTCCTTTCCAACCACTTTCCCTCACCAAATAATAGTACCGCACACCTCGATCCTTCAACAGATTCTTGCCAGCAACACACAAAAGCAGCTTAGAGCACCCAAGTCCAGCCTGATTCGGTGCACCCTCAGCCATTGGATTGATCATTGGATTATCAATCCCTCCAGGAGCTGTTGATAAACATAATTCCAAACTTTATAATGCAAAGTGTTCTCAAATTCTTCACCTTTAGGCTCTAACCCAATTGGCTTGGACACCCAAAAATAAGTGTGGGACAAAAATGCCCCCAAATTTGCACACCACCACACAAGCTCTCAACTCCTGCTTTCATAGCTATATTGTGTGCAATATTTCCACCTGCACTGTCACCACCAATGTAAAGTCGATCATAATCTCCGTAGTTGACTAACCATGGCTCCTTGTTGCCATCTGAGTCTTTGTTGCTTGAGTGAGAAGCAACCCATTGAAGAACAGCCCAGCAATTTTCATAAGCAATAGGAAGTGAGTTTTATGGGGCACGTCTGTACTCAACAGAGACAGCTACAGCATTGGCTTCTGAGACCAAGCGGTTGAGATAACGTTGGTCAAGAAACGAGAAGGCAGATCCAAAGCAAAATGCACCACCGTGAAGTAAACCAAGATGGAAAGCTTCAGGGTTTGGTTTTGAGGTAGGTTTGGGTGGTATAGGCGAGCAGAGATGTTAGGGTTTTGTGAGATGGTGATGTCTTTGGAAGAGACATTGGTTTCTGGGTCGTGAGGAGATGGGGGAACAAATGGAGATTCCATTGGGCGTTCAACCGTGCCATCTTTGTAGATTCTAATGAGAGGAAGGAACTCAGAGATTTTTTCTTTGGTGGTGGTGGTGGTGGTGGTGGTGGAGGAGGAGGAAGCCATTATAGAACAGAGATATAGAGAGATAAGTATTGAATTGACATGTGAAGCTTTGAGAGTTGGGATGTGCCTCTTAATATAGAGGGACCATTTGCCATTAATTCATTAGCAAACAAATCAAGTGAGCTATCTTGTTTGCCACTTAACTATCAAAAAGGATAATTACATTTAACTAATATATACATACAACTCCCAACAAATAAAGACCAATTGCCTTGTAAATGTAGTGTCTTTATGGATAGAGTACTGACTAGCTAGGGCTGCCCCATATGATCGTTGCACTCTTGCAAGCTTGTGAGACCAAATGATCATTCTGCATTCAAGGCATCGAAGTCAATCGGTGCGTCTTTCGTTTTCATTGTCTTCCAAGACTTTCTCTATATAAATTATTTATGTATTCAACTTTCTCATGCTGTTGGTCTACTCCTCTTTCCATATAGGGTGTAATCTTGTGTGCATCTGTTAATAAAAATTGAGAAGTGCTACGAGTTATTAACACTAAAGAGAGGAAAAGTACAAAATGATTTTTTCGAAAAGCTAAAGTAACAATTCTCAATGTCATTTATAATTTAAAGATATATGCATATGCATGCACTGTATATTTACGAGGGGCCATGACGTACGTATAGTTTGACTCACCGCGCGGGAGGACATATGGTGGCTACTTTGGTTGCTATTGCTACTTTCTGCATTAGCTGTCAGTCTTGAGCTCCTCTCTTTCTCATTTTCCTAACAAATTTCAATTCAAACCACCGCAAAAGAAATAGCTTCAGAGCTCCTCCCCCTAATCAGAATATACAAAGACAGCCGGTGGAACGCCTCATGGGCTCTCCCTATGTGCTCCCATTCCCTCGTGACCCTGAAATCAATGTCTCTGACATCACCATCTCACAAAACCCTAGCATCTCCTCTCGCCTTTACCTCCCTCCTCAAAACCAAAAATATCAACAACCCAAAAACCCTATCCCCGTCTTGGTTTACCTCCACGGTGGTGGGTTTTGCTTTGAATCTGCCTTCTCGTCCGACTACTACCGTTTTCTCAATCGCTTGGTCTCGCAAGCCCAAGTCCTCACCGTCTCAGCCGAGTACAGGCTCGTCCCGGAAAACCCATTTCCCATGTGTTACCTACATTGCTGGGATCGATGCTTTTCAATGGACTCTTCCCACAAACCCCACAAAGAATCAGATGCTAGCAATGCTGACAAAGAGCCATGGTTGGTCCTGTCTGGTAGTTTTGATAAATTGTACATTGGTAGAGACAGTGCAGGAGGAAACAGTGTGCATAACGTGGCTATTGTTAAGCTATATCAAATGATCAAACATATACTGTAATCCTGTATATTGAATCAAGAACAGAGAGAAAGAGAGACTAGAGAAAGAAGTTAGAGAGAGAGAAGAAGAACAATCTGATATATTTTCTTAATTGGTAAGTAATTACATGAGATAGTCTTATATAGAGCTACAGATAACTAACTAACTAATACAGTAAGATTATGACAAGTGTCACAATCTAAAGCACTATACTCTAACATCCCCCCTCAAGATCATGCTTTGAGGAACCAAGCATGAGATTGCAGCAATGAGTTCTGAAAAGAGGACCACTTAACCCCTTTGTACGAATATCGGCAAACTGCTCTTGTGAAGACACAAACTATACTGATAGTTGTTTCTGTGATACTCTTTCGCGAACAAAATGCACGTCTACTTCTATGTGCTTGGTCTTTTGATGTTGAACAGGATTAAAAGACAAGGCAATTGCTGACAGATTGTCACAAAAGAGTACAGGTACACTAGGTAGTGGAATGTGCAAAAATGCTAATAATTGTTTGATCCAATCCAACTTTGCTGAGGTAAATGATAACGCTCGATATTCAGCTTCGGTTGATGATCTGGAAACAGTCTGTTGCTTCTTAGAGGACCACGAAATTGGATTGTTACCCAAAAATACCACCAACTTAGTTGTAGATCTCCTGTCATTAGGGTTCCTTGACCAATCAGCATCACTAAAGGCCTTTAACTGCAAATTTCCTCTAGAATATGATATACCAAACTGCATTGTGCCCTTCAGATATCGTAATATACATTTAACTGCAGTAAAATGGGACACCATTAGATTATGCATAAACTGACAGACTTGTTGCACAGAAAAAGTAATATCTGGCCTTGTGAAAGTTAAGTATTGTAGAGCCCTCACAATACTTCTATACAACTTAGGATTTGAATAAGGTTGCCCATCCTCTTTGAGTAACCTGTTGTAAGGGAGATATGGTGTATCACATGGTTTAGCTTCAAACATTTCAGATTTAACCAACAGATCCTCAACATATTTGGTTTGTAACAGAAACAAATCAGTTGCAATTTTAGTGATTTGAATCCCTAAGAAATAGTGAAGTAACCCCAAATTCTTGATATCAAACTTAGTAGTAAGAGCACTAATAACCTGTGTAATTGCACTAGAAGCACTGCCAGTTATAATGATGTCTTCCACATAGAAGAGCAGTACCACAATCTCATGACCAACATGCTTAACAGACAAGGATGAGTCAAAGTATGTGTTTTCGAGTCAAAGTATGTGTTTTCAAATCCTAAAGAGGAAGAAACTGAGTGAATCGTTCATTCTAGGGCCAAGGAGCCTGTTTTAGCCCATATAAGGATTTAGACAGCTTACACACTAGATGAGGATGATTTGGATCTTCAAAACCAGGAGGTTGAGACATGTAGACCTCCTCTTGTAGGATGCCATGCAAAAATGCATTTTTGACATCTAATTGTCTAAAGGGCCAATTGAAATGTGTAGCAAGAGCAAGAACTAACCTGACTGTGGTAGGTTTCACCATAGGGTTAAAAGTTTCCCCATAATCCAATCCAGGTTCTTGACTGAAACCCTTAGCAACTAACCATGCTTTGTGTCTGGCAATAGACCCATCTGAGTATCTCTTAATCTTGAAAATCCATTTACATCCAACCAGGTTCTTGTTTGCTGGTAAGTGAACTAGACTCCAAGTGCCTTGCGCATGTAAGGCATTAACTTCTTCTTGCATGGCCTTTAACCACACAGGGACTTTGATTGCAGACTTGTAACTAACTAGTTCAACCAAGGACATATCAGTTCCCCCAGAGTCCTGAACACTTGCTAAGAGAGCCTTCTTTTTAATAATCCCACTTTTGAAAGAGCAATTAGTATTTGCATAACTGATCCTCCCACATTGGTAACAAAAATCTTGCAACATATCATATCGAAATTCCACCCAAGTATCCTTATTATTCTCCGTTGGTAGCCAACAGCCAATGGTTAAGGGGTTTATGGTATTAACAACTAACTTCGCCCATAGAAACCCTCGTGCTTTGGATGGATTCTCAAATTCCAAAAATTCACCAATTTCCTTAGAGAGGCGTCATACATTAGTTTCTGAAGTGAGGCAGAAAGGCACCCCCCCTTCCCGAATCTGAACCCAAAAAGGAACCATTTCCATCTTTATTTCCTCCAAGGCAAGTTCTGGAGGCCATCTGTTTACAGAGAAGTTTTGTTTCATCACTGCCCACGGTACCTAGCTGAGGATCTTTGTTGTTGTACTTTCATCTTGGACTGTTATGATAGAAGTATTATCCCCGACCCGTTTGACATCAACCTCCCTAAGCTCTTTCCAAGGGGACCGAAGAATGTTTCTAACACCCCACTTGTTCAGATTTCTGGTAACTAGGGCCACACCAACCAGTTTGACCCCATGTTCCATAGTCGACAGATCCATGGATTTTTCCAAGTGAACCACCAATTCATCAACATCTTAATGTGCCATTTGTCCCTCGCTATGACCTATGCCTTGGACCATTTGTACAGAGGTGTACAAGAGATAGATTGTAGAGGCCCTACCCAAATGATCTTTTGAATGGTTGTTTTTACTTTTCCTCTCAGCTCCTCTCTGTTTTGTCTGTTTTTTTAGTATAAAGACCACACATAAAATTGTTGTTGGAAAATACCTTATCCCTGTGAAAAATGAACTCCTAGAGCTTTTAATTTCGGATCCAAAAGTAGTTGTATCCATCTTCACCTTATTAATTGCTAGAGCTATTATGCTTTCATCTTGGACTGTTATGATCGAATGTGTCTAAATTCTTAATATTCTCGTTACATTTTCGTCTTAATCCTCAGTTTGCATTGAGAATGCTCCATCTACATCTCGTTTAGTTGTGTAATCCAAAAAGAAAGTGACATCTACATCTCAACTAGTCAATTTTAATGGATACAGTAATATGAGTGGCATTTGCACCATGTTTTACAAAATCCAAATTAAAAGTTGCATGCGTTGGTGTGAATTATTCATAATTTTACAACCCAACATAAAGTATGGGCCTCTAAAGATGGGCCGGATGGAAACAATGTAATGGCTCAGTCCAGAAAAAATACATTTTCCTCGGTACCCATCTCACTGTTGCTTCACAAAACAATCTCAGCCGTCCAATCAACCAAAAACCCTATCTCTCTCTCTCATTTAAGATGTCCCGCACTTCCGTCTCGCGCCTCCAAGCTCGTAGCGCGCAGAGACACACAGAGCCCCCAGGAGAGGAGACCCCAAACCCTAGAGAGCAACACCATGGCGGCCCCAGCTATCGAGTCCGTGCAATGCTTCGGTCGGAAGAAGACGGCGGTGGCAGTGACCTACTGCAAGCGCGGACGCGGCCTGATCAAGATCAACGGCTGCCCAATCGAGCTCGTCGAGCCTGAGATCCTCCGATTCAAGGCCTACGAGCCGATCCTGCTGCTCGGACGACAGCGCTTCGCCGGCGTCGACATGAGGATCCGAGTCAAAGGCGGAGGCCACACCTCCCAGATCTACGCCATCCGTCAGAGCATCGCCAAGGCCCTCGTGGCGTTTTACCAGAAGTACGTTGACGAGCAGAGCAAGAAGGAGATCAAGGACATCCTGGTCAGGTACGACAGGACTCTCCTCGTCGCTGATCCCCGGCGCTGCGAACCCAAGAAGTTCGGTGGTCGCGGTGCCAGAGCCAGGTTCCAGAAGTCCTACCGTTGAGAGTATTGCCCCTTTTTCAATTTATGTTATTTCTATCGCTTTCGTATCGAAATTGATCTCAATCGGTGTTTTGTTTTAATTCCTAGTTTTAATATTTGCTATGGATTTTGAAAGTGCTCTGGATGTTTATGCTTAGTTATAATTTGGTGATATTTTGAAGAATGATTGAATGTTTCCGGGTTTGATTTTTCGGGTTTTTGATTCTTTGCTTAGAGAATGTTGCTCTTACTGTAGTTGATTGAGGCAGGGTTTTTGCTTTGAGATTTAGAAATAAACTTAGGCAAGCTTTTAACGTTAGGCATCCTTTTATTGCTTAGGTTTAGTGAACCTAATTAGCTTATTCGTTGTTATGAAATTACAATTGAAGTTGTAATTTTATGGAACCAAACTTGGAACAGGATGCCGTATTTCTCGAATCGGGAAAAAACATGAACCAAACATGTTTAGGGTAGTTGGAGTTAGGGTTGCAACTCAAGCGGGTTGGAAGGTCAACCCAATCTTAACCCAACTTTTACAATTCGGGCTTGGGTTCAGGTTGGATTTGGATTTCATTTGGGTTTAATTGGGCTAGGGTTTAATTGGGTTAGGGTTTACTTGGGTTGGGTTTGGGTTGCCCAACTTTTTCAAGTTTAATCTTGCAACAACTTAGTTTCCAAGAATTCCTAAAAAAATTAACCAAGTAGCATCAAAGCTAGCTAACTCTAATTTCATAAATCAATCTACTATAAAGCTTAGGATTTAGAGACTATGAATATGGGCTAACTAATCAAAGCCTATTATTCCCTAAAAGCTTAAGTAAATTTTAAAGGGTAATTTATTAAAAAATTATTAGAAAGGGCATTGGTTTTTGGACTGGCACACTTGGGTGTAGTATGAGCAATAATTGATTTGGGTTACAATTTGGTTAGATTGGGTTTGGTTAGTTGGGTCAGGTTGGGTTGGGGATGGACGGGCAAATGATCAACCCAACTCAACCCAATCAATGAACGGGTTGAAATTGGGTTGGGTTCGGACGGGGTTATAACTAAAAAAAAAACCCGCTTGTTCAGGTTTAAAGTCGGGTTGGACATTGGCGGGTTCAGATTGGCCCAACCCAAGTTGCACCCCTAGTTAAGGTTAGGGTCAATTGGGTATGATTTTCATTTGATCTTTGCCCTAGAAGAAATTGGAAATGCATTTGCTTATTGTAATGTTCAAACCCTGATCTTGGGTTTTATAGCCGCAGATGGTATAACCAGCTTCTACTATCCTTCTAACCTTTGCTTTAATTGGCCTAGGTTTCTTGCTCAGTTTTCGAAATGCTAATTTTTGCATCTGCCAGTGCCTATATCGTTTAATTGCCTTCAATAACGAAGAGCCATTGTCTGATGATTGCATTTTCATGTGCCTAACGAAGTTCTTTAGAAATTTCTGGGAAATCTTGATTAGGTATCAAAGTTCACCTCTGTTAAGTAGCCGTTTGATCAATCTCAACTGGACTTTCTGACCCATCAGAAAGTTGGAACCCAGAGTTGCCCAGCTCATCCCCCTTGTTCTGCGCCACCACCCTTACCTCTACCCCACCATCTCCCCAAACCTTGTTCAACCCCAACCGGCCCAAACACATCCACCCAAAGAATATAACCAACTGGCCACTGTACCTCTGAATAACTTGTCTACTGGGATATCGGTTAGAGGGAGCATCCCAGTAGATGAAGTGTAAGTAACGCCTCCAGACATCCAAAGCAATCGTTTCCCCTTTACTTGAATAACAGAAATCAATCAACGAGTTAGCAACTGTTTTCTGTGCATAAAGGATGAAGAGGGAACGGCGCATTCATGTCATCGCTCATGTAACAATGCTGATGACGGCCTTGCCAAAACATGAAATACATTTCACCCACTGCAAACAACACCCAAAAATTATAGTTATCAACCTGTTAGGCATGTTTTGGAGACCATATAAGAGAAAATTCATCTAACCGATTCAACGACAACTTTCGGTCACTTGTAAACGCGCCCTCGCATCATTGCATTGCTGTGTACGTACTACGTGTACTCATTTGGACGATATCCCTTCTCGATCATACCCTTGTTCCTTTAGATCGCTGAAATCCCGTAAACCCTGAAGCCCCTTTCGCTTTCGTTTCTTACACACCTAATTGATTACCTCCTGATACGTATAATTATCTAGGACACGGTTCTTTGCAATTGGTGCAGGAGTTGGGACACTAGTATATTGCTTCTACTTACAAAACCCAGTTATCATGAATTTAGTGAAAGCAGCATTTCCAGGGACTAGTCCATCTACCAAAACCTGCCAAAGATCATAACCTCTTTCAAAACCTTGTTATCAACCGCCTCCTGAATGCTTCTTTGCAGCATTGTAGGCCTTAGCCGTAATCGTTCAAATAGGAGGGGAGATAATCTTACACCTTCTTTGGTGCTTCAAAAGCTCAGTGAAACTAAATGAAGGGTACTTGTGTCTTAAGGCGGTTATAAGAGTGGCTTATGTTGTGATCTATAAATGCCACAGTTGTAATTACCATCATCAATAGAAAAGATTGAAATTCAGTTACACCAAACTTTCCCTCTCCTTCGATTGCTCCCCTTGTTCCTTTTAGCTTGTTTCTCAAAAACTTCAGAAAAGTTGGCAACAAATGCACCTAACGGATAGTCCCACGAGTTTAACATTTTAACTGTTTTCAACTCCTCGTTATCAATGCGTGGTCCTTGTTTCTAAGCCCCTTCTTGGAGAAAACTAACCCACTTGGAGTCCTGTTATACGTATTTGTATAGATTCATTACTGCTTCATAAGCAAAGCTTTTTATGACATGTAGTTGGAAAAGCTACTACTTTTATTACCTACGACTCCCAACACTCCTATATAGTGAGCTTTTCTTGTACCACACAAAAATCAACATTTTACATCAATATTGTGTGCTTGCCCCAAAGCACACAATATCTTATTACGTGGATCGGGTTATGTTATTTTAACTCATGCACTATAGGCTTGTCATGCTAACTCAATATGGTTGCAACCTAGAGATAGAGAGGGAAGGGTGGGTGAGCATGGCCATGGGAGGCCACCAATACCGGTGGAACGGGTAAAAGGATGGTTTGGGTTTGGAGCTGCTGCCGTTATGCGTTTTTTTTTTTTTTTTTTTAATTTTTAATTTTGTTTCCAATAGTTGATTTATCTAATTTCATGTGTTTCCTTGTAAAATTTGGTTTGTCATTGTAAATATCTCGCTGACCATTCTTTGGCAGTTGTTACGTATATATAGAAAAACTCTTTTAATTTTATCGTTGAAATGAGAATCTAACCGCGTAACTTTCACCTGCACGTATGGAATATTACTGTTGAAAAGATAAGCCCTCGCTTTTTTAAAATTCAGATGACATGTACTCATTGACCGCCAATTCCATAGTATTTCGAATTTTAAAGTATTTATAGTAAATATTTTGTACATGTATTTCCAAACGTATTTACACTTTTCTTTAAAAGCATGAAGAAAGGGGGAAGAACATTGCAACAAACTCATTTTTGCGTCTAACAAAAGAAGAAGGAAATTGCCAAATAATACTACTCTCTCTGATTCAGTTTGGCAACCAAACCCTATCCGCATATGTCACATTGCTATCTTGCCTTCCAAACATCAAAAGTAGCGGCCGGAAACGCACATGATAATTGACACAATGTTCCCCTAAATATTTATAAATCCAAAATACCTACACGCACTCCGCTGCCCTTAATTTTCAGTTTTTCCCTCCACTCTCTTTTCCCTCTATTGCTTTCTTCCATTTCAGAGCTCCGTTTGAATCTCTGAAAATCCCAGAGTACCCAGAAAGCGGGAGAGAAAAAGAAAGGTACCCATCTCTTTCTCTTCAACTTTTGCTTCGGTTTTACCCACTTTTCCAGTTTTAGGGTAACGTTTTGTGCTTGATAGTCTGGCTTTAATTTGAAATTTATGAAGCTACTGAACCCCATTTCGTTTTCTTTGACTGATTATCTGTTCTGGGTTGTTTTTTGTTTTGCTTGGAGGGTTCAGATTCATTTGGGTTTATATTTGATTTCTAGTTGATAATTTTATATTTGTTGCTGATTATATTTACTGTGGAAGTTTGAATCTTTGTGGGTTTTTATTGGTAGTTCTTTGGTACCTTGACATTTATCCAATAAATAAGTTCATGACATTGGTTATTTGACAGTTTTATGTTTAGTTTTGGAGAATGGGGTTGGTTCAATGAGATTGTTGGATCCATCGGCTATAGCCAAAATTACAGATATGATTTTTTTTGTCGTAATATATATGAGTGTGCATTGGAGATGAGAAAAGAGAGAATGAATGACATGGTCTGCAGTGGAATCAATCCCGTGGCCGGGGACTGCAGGGCTGTAAACTTTTGGATCTAGTATGATAATTGGATAATTGAGCAGCCCAGTGAGGTTCTCTCTTTGGTTTTTATGATCTGTTGTGAGTGTGCCGTATTGACCGGTTTCAATTTTTTATGATCCTTCTAGATGGAGATTGGACTGGAGTGTTGTAGGGTGAAAAGTTATCCGAAAATAATGGAAGGGAAATTTTCCGTATGGTGATTCTTTAATTGTATGATAATGTTTTCAATGTTTTAGATTATAAGAAGCAGAAAAGTCACTGCTTCACTTTATCATTTGCATTTCTTGACAGGTACCTTTTACCAAATGGAACTGTGAAATTTCCTCGTTGTTTTGGTCTGAGTGAAATGTCCTCTAAACCCTCTGATTGCTAGAAAGGGGGGAAAGGGAGGGGGGAAACTGAAGAAACTTCATTGGTAATGCTTATTAAGGGGCAACATAACATATGGGGAATCTATATATATGGGAAAAAATTGGTTAAAAGTTAAAAATGAAGTGAGTTGCATGATAATAGTTATGAAGGTTTTAATTGTGTGCTTTAGTTTTGTTTGCGTTACAAATTTTCTCCTCCCGTGAAGAGGAAGAGAAGTTCTATTGCATCATTGTTATTTTCTAAATTCCGAGTCTCTTTCGCAGTTTTTAGGTCAATAATTATCATCTGCATTTATTAACTTAATTTTTTTTCTGTTGTCAAGAATTATGTTGGGTAAAGGATGTTGTTTCTGATATTATAGGAGTTTTATCTCTCATATCCTGAAACATTCATTTTGAAAATTCTTGATGGTTATCATTTAATATCTTGGAAC